GCCCCCTCGGTCATGTCTCTCATGCTGCAGGGCTTCGGAGAGGGCTTCATGGCGGCTGAGTCGGCCCAGCGTTGCCCCGTTTCGCTCAGCCCGCCAGCGCAGTCACTCTGCCTACAGTCAAACTCCTACTAAGTAAGGACGCGCGATCTTGATCAGGGTACCCCTGCGTCCGTGCTCTTCCTTGCTCTTGCGTCCTTGAGGTTCTCGTCGCCCGCCGCCCCAAAAGTCCCAGCTTCGGCCTCCGAGGGCCCTGCGTCCTTGCCGCGCGCCCTTACGAGGGTTTCTGACTCTGGCCGCCGACGCGGAGCAGGCCGAGGAGGGCGCGGCCTCCGACTGCCACGGCCGAGCCGAGGGGAGACGTCCGCCAGGAGGGCGCCGAGGACCCGGCGGAGGGAGCGCACGCGTGGGGCCCATGCCAGAAAAGCAACCGCTGTGTGGGGGTCGGGGGGATTGTGCCGGGCCTCGCAACTGGACCTCGGCCGGGGCTGCAGATGTACACGGTGCTCATTCTTAGTTTCGGGCCGGGCGAAAGGGGGGGATTGGGAAAGGGGGGGTACGAAATCTGCTGCATGCGGCTGGTTTCGGCCTCATCGGGGGGCCCATTCCTCGATACATGGCCGCCTCCGGCGCGGGGAGGCGCCGGGAAAATCAGCTACGTGAGCTGATTCTCACCCCCCCCCTTTGCTATCCCCCCCTTTCGCCCGACCCGATAACTCTTGGCAGGTTCTTTGATTTTCGGGGGGCCAAGATCCTTTCATGTCTAATCGTCCCATCCTGGGCCTCTTCCGGGCCACTGGGGGGCCAGGAACAATCAGAAACGAGCACAGTTAGAACTGAGCACGATTAGAAATGAACGACGTGTAATGTATCATCCGGAAGCAACATTTGAGAGGGGAAGAATGGGAGATGCGCTTGGACATAGGACTGGCGCGGGAAGAATGGGCATTCGAAGGTGAACCCATCTGCCTTGGCCAGGCAGATCGCAGCCTTTCCGAAGAGATTCCATGTCCGCAGCAGCAGCAGCCTTCCCACAAAACACAGTTACCCAAGGAAAAGCGCATGAGCAATGTGTGCACGTAGGTCGAAACAAAAGGCAGGGGGCACGAATGTTTGCACACGTTTAACCATCCAAGATCTGATGGGTTGTTTCTGGAGCTTGGGGGCGCATGAGGGTACAACAAATTCTGTGTTCGCAAACAGCAGTCTGATGACAACCATAGAAAGGCACACGAGAATTTGACACCAAAGGAGGACACCATAATTAGTATTGACATTGGTACCGAGCAGCCCGCAGAACTAGTGGCACTGACTGGTGTATGAACTACAGATCAATCGACAGCTTGGTCACGCAAGCAAGCAAGTTTGTTGCTTCAAGGTTGGTTGCATCACTATAAAGACAGGTCGGATGTAATTCGAAGAACTGGACGAGGCTGAAAAACAGGTGCGAGGGACGCCGGGAGCTCGAGCCGACACTGGACATTCTCCGGGCACGACCCGTGCGATGGATGTTTCGAAACAGGCGGGGGGACGCCATGCGAGGCTGCCCATTGGTGCCATAGGTGGAGCTCCTTCTGGGGCATGTTTCGCACGACAGGTGTGCCGTCATGGGCGGGGTGGCGCTGTACGAGCTTTGCATGTGGGCCTTTAGGTGGTGTTCCTTGTGTGCACGATTCGCGTGATGGAGTGTGCCGCAATGGTCGGGTATAGCCAGGACCCCAGGTAAGGGGACCCGGTTAGTGGTAGGGCCCTGGTCAGGTCAGAGGTCAGAGGCAGCATGCGCCAGAGCGCGCCCTGCGCGGGCTGCTGCGCGCGCGGTTCCCACTTTCTTGATGATTCTCTCACGCCCCAGTCTTGAAAGTTCCCACACCCAGGCTTCTCGATGATTCTCGCACGCGCCAGACAAGAAATAGCAGACGAGATCTAGTCAGTCCATCGTTTCAACGGCCTTCCACTAGATCTGCAACCGGAAGGGGCCCATCGCAACGTAACTTGCCCCCATCTGTGGTCACTGCATGACTGTAGCTTACGATATAAGTTGGCTTTCCTCTCGCTCTGCGAGTGCAGCCACGTAGGCAATCCGGATTTCGAGTATGCCTCCTATGCCCGTTGAGTAGCTCTCACAATCCAATCAACATATGATTCATGTTCCAGTCGCCGCGCGCCCACAATTTTCCGAAGCATCTTCCGCATTGTTGCGTTGAGCTTTTGCTCTCGCGCTGCAGTGAGCGTCCAGGCACCGCTCCCATACAGCACCGTAGAAGACACGACAGCGTCGAATAGCCTCAATCTGGAATGTAAGAGATAACGCCGATTACACAATTCGGATTTGAACTTTCCGAAAGCAGCCCACCCTCTCGAGATCCTGTGGTTGATTTCCACATCGTGGTACTCACTGAAAGTTAATTTCCTTCCGAGGTACTTCATGCTGTCATTGAACTCTAAGACTTCGACGCGCCCATCTCCGACTTCAACGTCTTTCTGTCGCAACACTCCCCGGCGGTCTGCCTCGTTAGACAGGATCTTCGTCTTGCCCATGTGTAGCTGCAAACCGGCACTGCGCGCCCTATCGTCCAAGTCGGACAACATTCGTCGCACCTGCGCCCTGCTGGTTCCAAGCAAGATAATGTCGTCTGCGAACCTCAAGTTGGTCAAATAATGTGAACCAAGTTTGAGTCCAAGCCTCTCTTGCCGCCATTTACTCTTGAGGTCCCGCATGATTGTCTCCAGAACTGCGTTGAATATAGCTGATGACATTGGGTCGCCCTGCTTCGTGGTAGGGCCCTGGAGCCCTTAAATTGGCCAGAAGTGCTAAACCAGGTCTGCCGCAGCTAGTGTTTTTTCGGGTGACGGCAGTTCCGGTTAGTGAAACGGGGCGGGGGGAGCGTCCCCCCAGTACACGTCTCTAAGCTAGGTCCCAGTAAACCCAGTTCTGCCAACGCCCGAAATGGGTGGGGGGGGCGCAATGCGAACCCTCCTTTGGGGCCATAGGTGGAGCTCCCTGTGGACCACGATCTGTGCGAGAGGTGTGCCGAAGTGGGCGGGGAAGCGGCATGCGAACCTTGCCCCTGGGACCGTCCGTGGAACTCCCTGCGGGCCACGACCCTTGTGAGAGGCGTGCGAAGTAAGCCTGGCGACGCTATGAAGCTTCCCACTGGTGCTGCAAATGCAGTCACTTGCTGGGCACGATCCGCGTGAGGGGTGTGCCACTATTCGAATATTGTCTCTGGGTACGTAGGCGGAGATCCCTGTGGGGCGCGATCCCTTTGAGAGGTGTGCCGGCATTGGCGGGGGGACGCTAAGCCAAGCCTGTATTGGGGGCCGTCGGTGGAGCTCCCTGGGGGGCACGATTCGTGTGACATTGTATGGCGTCCGACGCCGAACACTTTAGACTACAACCAAAACTTGCTAAAACCTAAGCGCGCGCGAAGCTCGCGCGCGTGGTTGTATGATGTCTATATGTATGTGTACATATAGAAATACAACCTTTATATGTATATGTCTCTCTCTCTCTCCCTCTCTCTCTCTCTCTCTTTCTCTTCCTCCATCCTACATCGCTCTCGTTGTCTCTCTCCCTCTCTCTCTCCCTCCCTCCCTCTCTCTCTCTCTCTCCCTTTCCCTCTCTCTCTCTCCCTCCCTCTCTCTCCCTTTCCCTCTCTGATCACACCCATCCCACTCGCAAGAGAGCGCACCACCGCAGCACCGGCGCGACAGGGCCCCGCCTCGTCTAACTACGCCCCGGCCGCCGGTGGCTCGAGCAGAACATGTGGCTGTTGCGAAACGGACCGGCCACCATGGATCCGGGCCCCATGGTCGCGCTGTGCCGCCTGCCAGGAGGAGAGGAGGAGGAGGAGGAGAAGGAGGAGGAGGAGGAGGAGGAGGAGGAGGAGGAAGGGGGGAGGAGGAAAATGAGGAGGAGGAGGAGGAGGAGGAGGAGGAAGGGGGGAGGAGGAAAAGGAGGAGGAGGAGGAGGAGATCGATGAGGGAGGAGGGGAGGAGAAGAGCGATGAGGAGAAGGAGGATGAGGAGAAGGAGGGGAACGAGGAGGAGAGCGATGGGGGACGAGGGGGGAAAGAGTGTTGTGCAGGAGCAGGAGCGGGACGATGCACCGCCTGCCGACAGGAGGCAGTGTCCAGGCGGAGCGACGGCGAAGACGACAAAGTGGAGAAGTTGTTGCTTGCGGTTGCCGGTGGGAAGCAGCTTGCCGAGGAGCGGCGGGGTTTTCTTCTCTCCGTCTCTCTCTCTCTTTGGATATCTCTTTTGTGCTTTATATATATATATATATATATATATATGTATCGACTTCTATTTCTATATGTTTGCAAGCCCGGGGGGTGGGAAAACCTCTTCGCCTCCCCAAAACCGGACCCCCAGGATCCTGGGTTTCTCGGCCCCCCAGACACCCCTGCCAAAGGTCCCCCGGCTCGTCCCGGACCTCCCAGGGCGCTTGGCCGGGTCTGCTCGGCCTCTCTGATCGATCAGAGAGGCCGAAGAGAGTTTCAAGACAGCACAAGAGCGCTCCAAGGACCCAGATGGCCTCCAGAGGCCCCCAAGACGGCCCAGGGGCCGAGAACAGGACTCCCAGAAGGTGAAGATCGCTTCATTCCCTCAGGGGGAAGTACATTTTCAGCATATTCGCGTCGTAGCAGCGTCCAAAGCTGCGTCCAAAACAGCCAAAAAGGTTTAGCAGCGTCCAAAACAGCAAAAAAGCTTCGCTGCTCGGGTCTTAGCAGCGTCCAGAACAGCCCAAAAGGCCTCTGGTATCGCCCCAAGACGGCCCAAGAGACCCCCAAGAGAGCCTCTGGACTGCTTGGATGGCCCCAAGGGCGCCCGAGGAAGCTCCAAATGTGCCAAAAAGAGGCCCAACAGGCCCTCACAAGGCCCCCAAGAGAAGCCCACGAAGGCCATGGAAGACTCCCAGAAATGCCATGGGATGCCCCCACGTAGCCCACGTAAGGTCCCTAGAGGGCCCAAGCTCCCCAACACTGGCCAAGATGGCCCCAGGACGGCTCGAGAGGGCCCCAGGCTGGCCCACCAGGGCTCCGACAAGGCCCACACGGTGTTTTCCACCAAACTGACCCGAATCCGGGGTTCGTGGCGGTGCATTCCCCAAGAATTCTTTATTTTCGCGTGCCCCGTTGCAACCCGCTGCAACGTGACATCCTCGGCTTGACATTGCTTTGTACTTTGCGGCATTGCTTGACATTGAGTCGGTCTTTCACGTGGCTTGCCATGCCTTCGCATTGCGCACCAGGGCACCTGAGCCACGAGCGGGCCAATGTGCGGGCCTTCGAAGGCCGTTCGTCGTCATTCACTGCCAGACACTTCTGCAGACGTGCACGTACACATGGAGCCGTAGCCGCTGGCTTTTAGACAGAACTCCCAGTGCGGCGCATCCGAAATTCTTCGCTGTCCCCCGACGGCACCATCTCTTTCTCCACTCCTGCTCCTCCTCTGGGTCCTCTGCCGCCCTCCTCCTCCTCCTCCTCCTCCTCCTCCTCCTCCTCCTCCCCTTTCTGCCGCGCCACCACTCGTCCTTCCCCACATACGCTTCCCTCTCCTCGCTCCCCGAGACTCGCTCCCTCTTATTCTTCGCCCTCCACCCGGCGCCTTGCAGGAGCCCCCCAAGGCCCAGGAAGGGCCACGGACCGCCCGAACTTTCGAAGACTTCCGAAAACCACCGCAGGGAAGGGGCCAAATTTTTGCGCCACTAGGGATGGCGCGAATAACCAGCATAAGCAGAGCCTCAAGGACCAAAGTGCCTGGCGCGAAGCGCCAAATGCAATCTGGTGTGTATATATATATATATATATATGCATAGATATGCATATACATATACATACATATACATATACTGATACATATATCTATATATACACATATACAATATATTATATATATATATTATATATATATATATATATATGAGTAGGCGGGGGGGGGCGGGCCGGTGCCGTAATTACCCCTCCATGGGGTGATTAGGGAGGGTCCCAGGGCTCTTGGGACTGCCCGGGCCCGCTCCCAAACACGCCACGACACGCCAAGAGAGCCTTAAAGATTGCCAAGACAGCCCCAAGAGGCCCACGACACGCCGAAGATGGCCTCAGGACGGCCGACGACGCTGCCGAAACGCTCCAAGAGCGCCTCTAGAGGCCCGTCCAAAGGGCCGCAGAAGCCGAAAATCGTTGATATTCCGATGGTGTTTGAATCATATTTGCGCTCTCGCATGTTCCGCCTCCCCACGGTCCCGGACGGCGTCAGAGGCCCTTCAGATCGCTCCAAGACGGCCGAAAAGGCTCCCAAGAAAGCCCAGAGAAGGCCCAGGAGGCTCTCCGGATAATTCAAGGCGCCTCGAGAGCGCCCCAAGAGAGCCTCAAGAGCGACCCAAGAGTACCCGAAGAGCGCGACAGTTCAAGGTCTCCAGCTTGAGAGGCTCCAGGGACGCCCCCGGAGGCCATCAAGAGGCTCCCAAGAAGCCCCGTGAGGCTCCCAAGAGGCCCCCCCGGAAGCCCCAATAGGCCCCCAAGGGGCACCCAGGGAAGCCCCCTGCGGGCCCCCACGACACCTCAGTAAATCGTATTTCCCAGACAGTTTTCCGGGAACATGATTCCTAAGACGGTCCATGAGGCCGCCGAGAAGGCCCTCCAAGGGCAAAAGTCAAGTATTTCCAATGGAAAACCGTGCATTTCCTGGATAGTTGCTTTTCAGTCCTACCAGCGGCTGCTACGGCCCCAGAGGCTTCCAAAATGAGCCCCAAACGGCCCAAGAGGCCCCCTTAGAGGGCCCCCAGCAGGCCTGAAGAGAGTTTCAAGCAGCACAAGAGTCCAACACGGCCTAAGAGAGTACCCAGGAACCCCGATGGAGCCACCGGAGGATCCCTACATGGTCGGAGAGGGCCCCCCGAGGGAACCAAGACGGGCTCAGGTCCCCATGACGGGCGAAGAGGGACCCGGAACGGCCGAACTGGGCCCCCAGAGGGTCCAAAAAACGCCTACCATGATCCTTGAAGACGGTCCAGGAGGCCGCTGAGAAGGCTCCCGGGTGCAAAAAAAACACATTTCCAATGGAAAAACGCACATTTCTATGATGTTCGTTTCTTAAGTTCCTTCGGCGGCCACGTCGGCCCCAAAGGCTCCTCAAATCGGCGCCACACGGTCCACGAGGCCCCCAAGAGGGCTCCAAGACAGTCTGAAGAGAGCGTCAAGCATCACAAGAGAGCTCCGAAACAGCCCGAGAGGGTCCCGAGGGGGCCCGATGGAGCCACCAGAGGATCCCTACATGGTCGGGGAGGGCTCCATGAGGGCCCCAAGACATGCCAAGAGGAGCCTGGGACAGCCGAAATGGGCTCCCTGACGGCCCAAGAAAGGTTCAAAAAGACCCCCCCACGACTGTACAAGAGGCCGCTGAGAAGGCCCTCCAAAGGCAAAAACGAGCATCTCCGATGGAAAAACGCATATTTCTGGGAGCTCCGCTTTTCAGTTCTACCAGCGGTCGCGACGGCCCAAGAGGTTACCAAAATGAGCCCCGCACGGCCCCAGAGGCCCCCAAGAGGGCTCCAAGATGGGCTGAAGAGAGCTTCAAGCGGCACAGAAGAGCTACAAGACGGCCCAAGAGAGCCCCGAGGAAGACCGAGGGGGCCACCAGAGGATTCCTACATGGTCGGAGAGGGCCCCAGGAGGGCCCCAAGACGGGCTGAGCTCCCCACGACGAGCCAAGAAGGACCTGGAACGGCCGAAATGGGTCCTCAGACGGGCCAACAAAGGCCCCAAGCACTCCAAAGGAAGGCCCGGAGAGGCTCCAGAGACTGCCACAATGTTTCCAAAAAGGCTCTCGGCACGCGTTCCAGTAGGCACCCGTGTACTGGGTGCGTTGAGAGAAGAGAGGAGGATGAGGACAAGGAGGAGAAGGAGGAGGATTGTTGTGATGGCGAAGGTGACCATGACCATGACGATGACGATGAAGATGACGGGGATGAGGACGACACTGATGACGATGATCAAGGCCCTAGCTAGAACTTGAGCGCACGCGAAGCGCGCGCGATGTTTCTGGTACATATATATGTGTATAGATATGTACAACTGCATTATGCTCTTCTGCGTCGTATCGGCATTGGCCTCGTGGATTCCTTCTGTCCCCTCCACCTGCATTCCTCCGACCACGAGGGAAACACGGATGACGGCGATAGTGATGAAGGTGAGGATAAGAGTCATATGTTACGGAACATGTGGTGTGTTTTTTTCCGAGATGTTCAGACAACCGTCAACAGTTGCCGCTGGAGTGCCACGAATTGCTTTCTGTCCAGCGACAGTCGGAGCGACCACCAGAAAGCCGTAACATGTGACGTTTGTTGTCGTGTGGCTGGCTGTTTCGGTCGGTTTTGAGGCAATATTGGGGCGGACCAGGAGGATTCGGAACATGATGATGACGATAATGATATGGCCTCGTGTGTGTTCGTGATGTCGACGAATTGCGGTTCTCAGAATGGGCCTCTCATCGGGGCCGTCTGACGACCACGGCAACAAGCTGGTGGACTTGTGTAGGCAGGGCCTGCAAGCGGTACCTGTTGACGCTAGTGGATATGAATGTGTGCAGGCAGGGCTTGCAAGAGGGGCTGGCTCACACGAGTCGATGTGGATTTGTGCAGGGAGAGCTTGCAAGCGGGATTGGCCAACACGAGTCTCTAGAATACGATGGTGATGGTGATGGTGAGGGTAATGGAGATGATGACAGCGATGGGAATGATAAAGTTGGTGGTGTTGGTGGTGATTATGATGTTGATGTTGATTTAGATGTTGATTATGACGATGAGGTGGATGATGGCGCCCCACAGGTGGCACCTCGGCTGTTCGGGTCAATTGTGGACGTCTGTGAATCGTGGTGGGGCGGGGACTTCAATGATACTCGTCTTAGGGGCCTATAGTTACATGGTCTCTCTGTCTGTCTCTTTATATCGGTATATAGACTTAGACTAGTCGGATAGACGTTGTACCGGCCACTGTGATGGCTCAAGACTCGCGCGCCGAATCTGTCTGTCTGTCTGTCTAACTTGGCGTACCATTCGTTGGCAAGTATGCGAAACAAATAATCACATCGTCGATGCCTCACTCACCATTCAACCTGCATCCGATGCATGTGAGCAAGAATTCAGTATGAATCGTGAACGGACTGTTGGATTTCGCGGAGGAGCTGGCCTCACTGTCGTGTGGTTGGTTCTCGCCCTCAATCCTACCAACAACGGCCCGCGCTTCGTGACCGAATACCTCAACCTTGCTACAACACTTCACCATCGACGCCCCCGAGGAAATAGACGAGGAAGCGAGAGCCAACGACAGCCAACATCCCTACACAGCGACCTTTAATATACACGAACAACCAACACGACCCATCCCACGACCTGCTTGGAAACAAGCAGGTCCTACACCACCCCTTTGGTGAGCCCGAGCCCGCGCTCCCACAAAAGACCCAACGCCTCACGACAGTACCCGAGGTGCGCATACGCCTTCAGCCTCGAATCCCCACTTCCTTGCGCATCTTTGGGCAAGCATAGTCAGCATACTATGGTTTGCCATGGGCGCTGCCACCGGGTGGGTACAGGGCACGAGGTATTGAACGTTGGACCCTCAACGGCAGCGCTCCCTTTTCGTGGATTGGAAGCCCTCGCCTAGTGAAGTGCCCCCAGCGGTCGCAGTATCTGCCAACAGCAGGCCGCTGCCTTGCAGCGTAGCCATAACACGCCCAGGAAGGTGCGGTTTCGCTATCGGGGGGCCGATCGCCGATCTACCAGTGATGTATCGCCGATTCCAGGTCGATTTCCCCCCCCTATGCCAGCACCCCCCCCGATCGTTGCCCCTCAGTCACGTCGCTGCCTCGAACTTCCTTGGCCTCCTCCATGATCCGCAACGTGCCGCCGCCCTCCTGTAGGTCACTGGTGCAGCGCTGCCTGGACTACAGCGACCGTGCTACCATGAGGAACGCCAAATAAGGAACGAAGGGGCTTTTTCTCGCCACGGCGAACCTCGGCCACAAATAGCTTCCCCGACCTAGACCTAACGAACGTCTTGAAAACCCGAGCCCCTCCTGAGCCCAAAGCGTTCCTTATTTCAGCGGCTTGACTGTACCCACTGCGAAAAGCGCCCCCCCCCCCACACACACACACACACACACACACACACACACACACACACACACACACACGCACACACACACAACAAACACTTTTGTCGTCAGCGGCGAGGCGGCGAACTCCGCTCCAGCGAGAAGCTAGACAGGGGCACTAACTGGCGAATTGGCCAGCGAAACGCAGCAAACACACACACACAATAGACAATTGCAAGGCATTGCTCCCGCGTGTTCCATGAGCACCAGGAGGCGGAGAAGGAAGGAGGAGGAGGAGGAGGAGGAGGAGGAGGAGGAGGAGGAGGGAGTGGACGGAGGTCTAGAGATGATGGCGACGACGGAGGAGGGGGGCGAGAAGACGAGGGGAGTGAGGAGGGAACGCGGCGAAGGAGGAAGGGAGGGGACTTGGCTATACCCCTCGCCCCCGTGAGTCGGGCAACAGCCGGGGCAGAGCTCCGAAGCCCCATTTCTGGGCCCCCTCCTCCATCCTCCTCCATCCTCCTCCCTCCTCCTCCTCCTCCTCCTCCTCCTCCTCCTCCTCCTCCTCCTCCTCCTCCTCCTCCTCCTCCTCCTCCTCCTCCTCCTCCTCCTCCTCCTCCTCCTCCTCCTCCCCCCCCCCTGACACTAGGTTTGTCTCGCACAACGAGTTAGGATCAAAACCCGGCTCACGGATCTGCTCTGAAAGATGCAAGGTTCTTAACGTGCGTGTTGAGAAGTACGTGGCGACGTCGAACAGCATCATCGCAGAACAGTTGCGATGTCGAGTGGATGTTCGGCCCTGATGCGTGCGAGACGGACTTTGGAGTCATGTGGATGCGTGCGATGCGCGCGACGCGCCGGGAGGTTCCGTCGCACCAGAAACGTGCGAGACGGTGTCTTGAGTGGCTTGCACGGGCCGACACGGCTCACGCACCGCGCAGGGAAGCGTTGAGGAGCCAACTCAGCGAAGGGGCCGGAATCTCCCGAGGAAGGCCGCGTAACACGTCGGGGAGGGGGCACGAGCGATCCAGGCGCAGCATGCGGGGCCGCGGGGCCCCCCCGGCAACCAACGGCCCGCCCCCCACCCCCGACCCCCTGCAAAGCGAAGTGCGAAGCAGATTGCGTGCTTCATGTATCCGCTTCATGACGCGGTCCGGCCCCCCTCTTTCTCCCCTCCAGGGTGCCCTTCGCGCGCAGGGGAACGAGGACAAGTGGAGCACCAGCAGTATTGAGAAGAACCGACGGAGCATCAGACGACACAAAAAACACTCAGGCACATGTGCGAAGGCTCCCCTCCATATCCACTCGCCGGGGGCGGCTCCTTCCGGGGGTCCAGCACCGACCAACAAATCTTGCGCGGCTTTCCGAAAAAGCGTGTGTTCATGTTGATTGTGTTCTTTAGATGGGGGGTGCGGCTTCATCATTCCAGGTACTCTTGTCTCGTCTCCTCGTCTCTGCGCATGCGATCATCCTCTGTCTGCTGCCTCCGCATATACTCGCGCCAGCGTTGACTGACAGCTTTCGAACTGTTTATTACCGAGCAGGCTTGCGAGGTACAAGCAGCCAACGAGTTCTGATTGTCGGTTCGAGAATTGGGATCGCGCTTCCCTGGACATTTGCTAGACCTTTGCACGGCCCTGGTGCCTGGATATGTTCCTGCAGGTGCTAAAACAAATGTCCCATGTTTCACTTGTTTGCAAATTGACGCCCTGTGTAAAATGGTAGAGGTTCCAATGGCTGTCTGTATTAGTGCACGGGCTCCTTCATGTATTCCTGAAGTCACTCGGGTAAGAGTATAGTAGAGTAAGAGTTGAAGCAGGGCGGGGAGGAGTAGCGCAACATAGGCAGCGTAGATACGAGCAGGGTGCGACGGAGCACAATACATAACACGACGACGTCCAAATGCATGATGCTATTATTCTTTTGAGTTGACGCTGGTGGCTTTTCTGGTTGGGTTGGGCAGGCCATTGGCAGTCTTAGGCATGTTGGTATTCAGGTTGGGCGTGCGTGGCCAGGACATGCGGTTCGCAGACATAGGCGGGTGGATGAGGATACGTTGGTGGACATATTAAACGTGAGGGTCAGGATATCTGGGTGGCATTACGACATTTGTGGAATAGTGTATCCCTTTGCAGATTTAGGCGGGCAGATGCTGATATGTCGGTGTCAGCTTGGGACGGGTAGGTGAGGCAATGTGGGATAGATTTTGGGGCGGGTCCATAAGAATGCGTCGGTTGCAGGTGTTGGGTGTGTGTGTACTACGGTACGTGGGCATCAGTTGTAGGCAGCTGCATGTGAATACGCCAGTGGGAGTTTGGGCTGGTGGGTGACATCATTTGGGACGCAGTGTTTAATTATTGGGGAAGATTATTCCGGTGGCAGATTTAGCCGCATCGGCGCGTTGCTGCGCCCGTACACACGCTCGCCCCTTGTGTTTGGTTTGGCGGCCTGGTGGGCGGGGGGGCAACGTGCGAGCTACCTGGTGATTGTTTCCGCATCTCTTTCGTGCGTTCCTGTTCTTCCTCCTCTTCCTCATTCTTCATCGTCTTCTTCTTCTTCTCCTGGTTTTTCTTCACTCTGGATTCACATTCCCACTCGCATCCTCGTATTACCCTTCACCAACCTCCCCCTCCGTGTTTGTTCCATGTTCCTCCTTTCCCCCCCTCCTGTGCCTCCTGCGGTGAAACATCTTCATCCACCCCCTCCTCCACCTCCTCACCCTCTCACCCCCTCTCTCCCTGTCCACGTCCTTCTGTTCCTGCTGTTGCGTATCCTGTTTAATTTGACCCCCCTTGTCCCATCTCCCCCCCTTTCCCCCCAACCCCCACCCCACTTCACCCCCACCCTTCTCCCCCTTGCCTTTCTCCTCACCATCATCATCATCATCATCATCATCATCATCATCATCATCATCATCATCATCATCATCATCATCATCATCGTCACCAGCATCATCATCCGTATGGTCGTCATCATCATCGTCCTCGTCCTGGTCCCCGTCATCAGCATCATCATCATTCTTATTATCATCTCCATCATCACCGTTATCATCAGAAGAAGCATCCTCACCGCCACCAGCCCCGCCTCCATCATCATCGTCATCATCATAATCAGCATCACCTCCCTCTTCAGCATCACCATAGTTAATCATCCTCTTCACCCTCCCCCCCTACACACACATATACAAGCACACCGCAAACCCATGCGTTTTCGGCAGACACCTCGGCTCAAGACCCTTGGGGGGAGTTTTGGTACAGGGAGAGCCCCTGCGGCTGCGCAGCCCGCACTGCGCGTGAGTCCGTGGCCGCTGCGCTCTTCCTGCCATGGATTCGGCGTCGCCAGCGACAATGGCAACTGACCACGAGCTGTTTGTCGGGGATCTCATTGACCAGATGCGGAAGCAGCGACAGGAGAAGAGCCGCAGCTACAGGCACCTGCCTTACTTCACGCACCTCGGCTCAGAGGAGGTGTTCGAGGCCCTGGACCGCGTGCGGCAGGCGAATCTGCAGCAGATGCAGCTGAAGATGCAGAAAGACTGCTCGTACATGCAGCACATGGACGACATGTCCCTTGAGGGCCGCAACGCGGAGAGCGTCCGCAAGCGGGTGCAGGAGGGGAAGTTGCAGGGCGGCTTCCGCCAGGTCCAGAGCCATGGGCAGACCACGGTGTGCGGCTGCCTGGATTGCCAGTTGCGCTTAGGGAACAAACAGTTTAACAGCTCGTTCCAGTACGAACAGTCCAAGGAAGCGCTGGCCCAGCGGGTGCAACGCTCGAAGCTTACCTTCCTAGGGGCTGCTGCTCACGGCAAGCCGATGCTCGCCATGCACCTGGCGAACGAAGGCGGGGCCCCCGACGCGCTCGGCACGGCGCTGCACGCGGCCGTGCTGCGCGGGGACGTGGAGCTCGTGAGACTGCTCTGCGGGCGCAGCGAGTGCGACGCCTCCGCCACCTGGGCCGGCGTGACGGCTCTGGACCTCGCCGTGTTCCGGGGCTTCGAAGATGGCGGGGAGGTTTTGTTGCAGCACGGGGCGCCGCTCTGCCACTTCCAGCATGACTCCCTGCACGAGGCCGTGGACCGCGGGAGCGCGCTGCTCCTACGGTCGCTCCTGCAGCAGATGGGCATTTTCTCACATCAGAGCCCGTTCGTCTCCAGCGCGCGCGTGGAAGTGGTCAACAGCGTGAACTCGGACGGGAACACGCCGCTGCATTTGGCGTGCTTGCTGGAGAACCGGGAGGCGGCGGTGAAGGTGCTCGTCGCCCACTGCGCGGATTCCAACAAGCAGAACGCAGACGGATTGACAGCGCTGGACTGCTGCGTGCAGGTTGCCAACCGCACGGCCTGGAAGGCGCTGCGGCACGCTGCCGGCTCGCAGGCCAAGTACCAGAAGTTCGAGACGGAGAGCCGGTCGTTGCGCGGGGCCGTGGCAGCCAATTGCCTCTTCCTGGTCCGGAACGTTCACCTGAAGCAGGAGGACGACCGGAAGGCCGCCGAGAGGTCGCGCGCCGACCTGGGGGACGTGCTCCACCTGGCCGTGTCCACGCCGGGCGTCGCCGACGACCTGGTGGAGTACCTGGTCGAGCAGGGCGCGGACGTGAACGCGATGAAGGACGGGCTCAGCGTCCTGGACGCCTGCCTGCAGCACAACATCGTCAGCGAGAGCGTCCTGGGCAGGCACGCCCGGCTCAGCAAGTTCCAGGACTACACCCTCCGGGCCGCGGCGAAGGAGGGCATCACCGGCCTCGTGCGGTACCTCGCGAACACCGCCAGGAAGGGAGGCAAGGACGGCGTGAATCAGCGCGAGGCCGGGCTCGTTCCGCTGCACGTGGCCGCCTCGTGCGGCTTCGTGGACGTCGTCAAGGTGCTGCTCAAGTGCAGTAGCAACCCCCACGAGCAGACCGACGACGGCAAGACCGCGCTGGACCTGGCCTGCGAGGAGCTGTCGCGGCTCCAGCCGACGGGCGACCGCGGCGGCGAGGAGGACGGGCGCATCCTGGGGCTGTGCCGCACCGTGGACGCGCTGCTGTCCAGGGGCTGCAAGCTGAAGGAGTTCCGGGACGAGTCGCAGGTGGAGCGGGCGATGCAGGCCATCAAGAGCGAGGCCGAGGAGTTGCGGCGGGAGGCGCAGGAGCAGGGAGACGCCAAGAGGCGGGAGGAGGATGCCCGGAGGCACGCCAAGAGGCGGCGCGAGGAGGCCGACGAAGTCCTGCGCCAGGTCGAGCGCGATGTCCGTGTCAGCATGGCGGAGGAGGACCGCAAGCTGGACGCCTACAAAGAGTCGGAGAAGCTGGCCAAGAAGGTGGCCGAGAGCAGGGAGGTGCTGCAGGCGCGATGCTCTCGGGGGGTCCTGCACACATGTGTCTACATCTTGTGTAAGATGGGGGTCCTGCTCGTAAGTCACGTTTCGGGATGCCTGCGACCACGTTTCGAGTGTGCTTGTCAACACGTTCTGGGGGTGGTTCCAGGGTGCCTGTGAACAGGTTTCCAGGGTTCTTGTGAACACAATTCAGGGGTGCTTGTGAACACGCTCTGGGGCGTTTGTGAACACAATTCGGGGATGCTTATGAACACGTTTCGGCGGGGGTGCTCGTGAACACGTTCTAGGTTCTGGGGTGCCCGTTAACACGTTTTGAGAATGTTCGTGAACACGTTTCGGGGGTGAGTGTGATAGGCGTCGGTGGTGTTCGTGAACACGTTTCGGTGGTGGTGTTTGTTGTAAAAGTCGTTTTGTGGTGAGGCTAACACGTGTCGGGGGTGTTGTTAAGACGTTTCGGGTTTGTCTGTAAACACATGTTTGTTCGGCATCGCGCCTGTCAGCACGCATTGGGCTGCCTCCTCCCTTCCATTCCCTTTCCCCCCGCCTCCCCCAGTGCCAGCCGGGGACGCGGCGCACAACGAGTCGCATGTACGTGCTTGTGCCCTGCGCCCACGCGCTTTACACAACCGCGCATCGCCATTCGGCTCGTATGATCTAACTGACCTCCGGAAACTCTGAAAACCTCAGCCCCTCGGAAATTTTGACCTTCCGGCTCCCTCGCCATGGGACCCCCTCGAACGCCCTTGCAGGGGGTTCTCCAGGCCTTCCAGGCCTTTGTCAGGAGGGAAAGAAACACACAGACATAATTGATCGTCGATTCCCCAGAAAATATGGGAGAATATGGGAAGTGGGGGGGAAGACAAAAACCCAGAAAATATACGAAAATATGGGGAATCCTTTTAATTGTGTGTATTTATTTGCGTGTCCTGGAGTCCCTTCACTTTGGGACGCCCCCGCCGCGTCTGGCCTGCGGGCCAAGAGCAGTCGGGAGGGCGGCCAGACGGCCCCGCGAGAGCCCCGAGCGGCCCCGGAGACCACCCACCAGACGCCCGGAGAGGGGCCGCGAAGTGCCCCCTTTAAGAGGCACCCGATACGCGAAAAGCGTTGGCTTCTGCGCGCTGATGCGAAACAATACAAATGAAACAATATGTTTAAAGCATCTAAGTAAAATTATATGTATATATCTATATATTTATATATGCGTATACATCTACATATATATATATAGAGAGAGAGAGAGAGAGAGAGAGCAACTTCAGCACGTTGTTGCGCAACTGGTTGATACTCGGCCCTTCGGTCTGCTGGGCGTCCGAGCCCGCCTGGGAGGCCCCGAGAACCGTCCCGCAGCTGCCCAGGCAGGCTTCCAGCACAGGGCCCCCCCCAGACGGCCCAACAGGGACCAAAGATGACCCGAAGGGAGCCCCATGACGGCCCAAGATGGCGCCAAGACGCCCCCGGAAGCATTCTAAATCGTGACCAAATCATTGAGGGAGACCGTGGTTCGCAGCGAGGTGGCCCGAGGAAGCCTTTTGATGGCCCCAAAAGGCGCCCAGGAGGCTTCCAGAGTACTCTTGTCCGCCATTGCAAGGGCTAGGTGCAAATACTCTGAACCTCTTACGGGCGATTCCAGCACGCTTTTGTCCCAATGGGTTGGCGAATCATTGTTCCATTGTCAGCCTTGTGTTCCCCACCGTGAGTTTGGATTGCCAGGTCCGTTCTGAACCCGAAGAGCGGTATGGAAGCGATTGAACTGGAGGACGAGGAGGAGAAGGAGGAGGAGGAGGAGGGCAAGGAGGGCAATTGTTTCATCATCGGTCCCCTTGGGGCATGACCTGCGGGCAAACGTGCCATCAACAGGGCGCCCGAGGCAGATGCTCGAGCCCCCAACCGAAACAGAAGCATCCTGAGGCGTTGCACAGGATGCTGTGGCCGCAGTGCGGCCAGAAAAGAGGCACAGACAACTGTAGCACCGATGGCGTGCAGTCAATGCGCCTCCAGCCGAACAACGGGTTGTGTCACAAGGACTGCATGAAGAAGTGACAGAGCTCGTGCACTAACCCGCTGTAGGAATCAGTCGGAGTCGCCCGACTCAATGCCCACCCTCGCCTCGGAGGGCGAGGAGGAGAGGGACGAGCAGTCGGCTGCCTGGCTCACAGGGGGGGGGTCCTGGGGCTGTGCGAAGCGGCTCTGCGACGGGGCGATCGGGTGCCGAAGGAGTGCTCTGAGGCGGTTAGGCGAAGGGAACTTGTTAGCGTGTCACTCCGCCGGTTCTCGCCCACCACGCTTCGGCGCGACACGCCATTCAGTTCCCAGTCCCCACTCGTCAACATCTCGAGCCTTTCCCAGCCTCCCGCCCCGCGGATCGACGATCCTCGGGACATGTATGAGCCCAAGCCTGTGCTTGCCCAGTTCGGCCTCGCCGATCACGTGCTGCCTGTGTCCGCCCTCGTTGCGCCGCCTGCGTCGTATTGAGGGGGCCTCGGTGGACACGCACATTCGATGTCTGTTCATGGGAGCCTTGGGCGGCGACATTGAAATCAGCTTTTCCTGCATGTGGACAGCGTGGGGACCGCATTTGGCCCATCCTCCTGCTCCTCCTCTCCCCTCCTGATCCCCCTCCCCCTCCTCGTTCTCCTGCGCAGCCCCCACGAATCCGGTCCGAGTCTGGTCCAAAGCCGGTCCAAATCCGTTCCAAATCCGGTCCAGATCAGGCCCAACTTACTTGGACAGTGCCGGGGGGCCACGCGGGCTCACACGGAACGGACCCCCAACGCTCACGTTGGCGCTGACAGCACGTGCAGAGGCTCATCGAGCGGAGCGGCGCGGCACGCTGCCCGCTCGCAGGGCCTCTCAGCCTGTCGCCGGGGCCGCCGCGGCCGGGGCAGGAGCTCCCGGCCGCAGGCGCGGGGGGGCAGCCGGCGGCCGAGGGTCGGGGGCGGCAAAGAGGGGGGTGATGACTAGGGGGGGGGGGGATATCATGGCGGGGGCCATGATGTTTCCCCAGATTTCATGGCGCCTCTTCTTATTCCATTACGTCCCTGGTCCCCCCGCTGGGCCGCGCACATGCCGCCGGTCATGATTTGCACCCCTCCCTCTTGGACACCCCCCTCTTGGCCGCTCCCGAGAGGGGGAGGGGGGAGGGTGCTCGGCCTCATCTCAGGAGGGGAAAAAAACCACAGACAAAATGAATCGTCGATTCCCCCGAAAATATGGGAAAGTATGGGAGGTGGGGGGGGAAAACAACCTCACAGATATGCGAAAATATGGGGAATCTCTTCATTGGTGCGTATTGATTTGTGTGTCCTGGGGCCCCTTCATCAGCGCTCGTCAGTGTGGCGCCGCCGGGCGGGAGGGGGGTTCAAGCAGTGGCGAGGCGTCCTGGCTCGCCTACAGCCCCAACCAACAGTGTTCTGAGAACCTTTTGCGGTTTCCACGAGATGTTCTTGGAACATTTCTGGCGGAGTCGAACATTTCTGGCGGAGTCTGTCTTGTTTTATCACATCGGGTTCATGTTCTAAGAACATTGTTCTTGTTCTTAGAACATTGTTGGTAGGACTATAGGAATGCTGGGACGGTCGGTCCCTGCTCAAGGGGTGGCTCCTTTACCCGGGGTTGGTAGAGGGGGGGGTTATCCCAGGGTGAGGTTCGGGAGCGAAGCCAGCTGGACGCTCGCGCTCACGCTCCTTCTCGCAGGGGCCGTGTTGGGCGATGTCGTTCTGGCCCCACCGCTGCCCTTGCCCCATGCCCCACCTTCGGGCTCCCCCGACTCTGGGGTCGTGTGTCTCTTGTGTGGCGGCGCGGGACAGGGGGGGGTGCTGTACAGTCAACCCGCATGGCAAGGATGCGCGACTTTCCAAGGTTCCCATTGCATCCCTCCCGTTCGGCCCCTCCTGGGCCGCGTTCGCTGGCCGCGCCCCGCTCGCAGCGTGTCGACATGGCCTTCCGAGACCCCCTGCATCCTCATCGTGCGTCCTCACGATGCGGGCTGACTTGCAGGGCTCATCGTCCGCGGGCGTGTCGGCGCCAAGGGCGGGGGGGGGGTCCTCCCCGGCCTGCGCTCCTGGGCGTGTCGTCTCCGAGAGCAGCCGTGCAGGGGGGGATGCTCTGCTCTCGGAGGTGCGGGGGGGGCAAGCCCGCTGTCCCAGGGAGGGGGGCCGCGTCCCCGGGGAGGTGCACCTCCCGCGGAGGGGGGAGTGACTCTCCACGGGAGGGGGAAGCGCAGCTCCGCTGGAGGACAGGAGGAAGGGATGGAAGCCAAGAGCAGAGCGGCAGAAGACGTCGAAGGAAGGAGCGACGCAGCAAACTTTACCGCGTCGTCCCTTGCCTCAACGTCCTCTGAGAGCGCAGGTCCTGGCGGCTTCCCGAGAGCGGTCCTAATCCCTCTTCCGTACCCCCTCCCCTCACCCTCGTCTTTATTTTGACACCGTTCTCCTCTCCACCGACCCCCTCAGCCTCGAAGTACCAGCGTGCTTGCTGTATGCGGATGTGTTGTGTGCGCGCTTGGGATGCTGCTTGAGCTTGTGAGCCGTCGTTTGAAGTGCGCTACGCTCTAGCATCGGCTGTGCTTTGTATGTAATGCGCGTGGGAGGGTATATAATGCGCGCTTGACCGCAACACGTGAAAGTTATGCAGAAAAGCTCGAGTTGTTTCGTTGTGCGCCTTCATTTCCCCCTCCTCCTCCTCCTCGTCCTCCTCCTACTCCTCCTCCTCCTCCTCCTCCTCCTCCTCCTCCTCCTCCTCCTTCTCGTCGTCCTCCTCCTCCTCCTCCTCCTCCTCCTCCTCCTCCTCCTCCTCTTCCTTCTCTTCGTCCTTGTCCTCCGCGGGCGATGGGAGAGAGGCGGTGGAAGGGCAGGGGGACCCAGGGGAAGGGAGGAGGCAACCCAGGGGGAAGGGCAGGGGGACCCGGGGGTGGGAGGGATGAGGCAACCCAACGCGTGTTCACAGTTGTGCCGACGAGCACCTCCGCAACGCGCTAACACGCACTCCCGAAGCGTGATCGCAATCAATCAATCTTTTCTGGTCGCGGACGCGGCGGACACACGAGTCGGTCAAGCCCAGCAATAACCATCCCGAAAGGCGTTCACAAGCACCCTGACGCATGTTCACAAGCGCCCAGAAACTTGTTCACAGGCCCACCCAGAACGTATTCACGAGCACCACGAAACGTGCTCCATCAAGCGCTCACGCGCTCAAATCTCGTACGCCGATATTTTTTGTGGGGTCCCCACGAGGCGAGCTGGAAGGGGGACGGCGAGAAGTTACCAGAGTACCTCTCGAGCAAGTACTACCAGATCCGGATCGACGTGCTGCGGCGGCGGATCCAGGAGAGGGACCAGCAGATCGAGGAAGCGCTGAAGAAGATGGACTTTGCGGAGGAAGACTACCTGTGGCTGCTGCGCAAGAAGATGCGGGACTTGAGGCTGAAGTACCACCCGGACAAGATCACGGACAGGCAGCCCACGGAGGAGGACTACAAGTTCTACGAGCGAATCACGAAGGCGTACGACGTGTTGTGCAACAAGGAGGAGCGCGACAAGTACCTGGAGATGTCGAACCACGTCGAGTGGCTCCAGCAGCACGGGGAGGAGGAGGAGGCAAGGCTCGTGGAGCGGGCGATCTACGACATGGAGACGCAGAAGAAGTCGAAGAAGGAGGACAGGAAAGAGGAGGATACAGCGCAGCCTCCTCGGGAGCACGTCGAGCGTGCGAAAAAGAAGCTGCAGGAGAGGCGCGACGAGGAGACGTGGGAAAAGTCCGGCGAGAAGATCAAGGCGTTGACGCTTGGCACCCCGAACAAGTGCAAGGCGCCAGTGGTGACTGCGCAACGCTTCACTGACAAGCTGGAGCAGTGTTGGATCGACATCGAATGGGTGTGCAAGTGCGCCTTCGCCTCGGCGGAGCGGATCGAGTACGAACTCCGGGTGCAGGCGATAGACAAGGGCGTGGAGGACTGGGCGGAGGTGTACCACGGCTGGGAGAGCAGCGTTGCGGCTCTGGGCCCGTTCCCCGTCGGCGCTTACGAGTTTATGGTCCGCGCCCGGAACAGCGTCGGCTGGGGCGAGTGGAGCGACGTGATAGTCGTGACGCTGACCGACCCCAAGTGGGAGAAGCAGCAGAAGAGGGAGGCGGAGCAGCAGGTCCGGTAAGGCTTCGGGTTGCGCACGGATCGACCCCCAGGTAGTCCCAGCTGGCCTCAACAGGCCCCCCGAGAAGTCCCAGCTGGACTCAACAGGCCCCCCGAGTAGTCTGGGGCGGTCTCAACACCCTGGCACTCTGCGCCCCAGGGCTGAGTGTTGAGACAGCCCCGGACTAGTCGGGTGGCCTGCTGGGACTACTCGGGGGGCTTCTTAAGACCAGCAGGAACTACCTGGGGGGGCTGTCTGCGCGCAGCCCGAAGCCTTACCACAGCAGGTCATGCGGGAGCAGGCCAAGACGCTCCAGTGGGACCTGCAGCAGATCCTCGACGAGTTCGAGGGGATGCAGGGCGAGAACAAGCTGACCATCCACCGGGCATCCAACCTCCTCTTTCACCTCCAGGCCGAGCTGAAGCGAGCGCGGACCGTGCGCGCATACATGGCCAAGCCCGCGGTGATGCGGGAGGCCGAAGCAGCCGTGAGGTTGCTGGAGAGGTGGCGGGACCGGAAGGAGGCGTTCGCGGAGTGGAGGCAGACGCTCTCGGAGATGCGTTGCCAGCTGCTCCAGGATTCTCCCGCCGCCGCGGTCTCCGCCGAGCGCGACCGGGAGGTAGGCGACTTGAATCATTTCCTGAGCCAGGACGAGCACTACTTCGGTTCGCTGAGTCCGGAGGTCAGGAACCTGATCGTGCAGACCCTACTGGGCCTGGATGCCAAGGCTCGGCGAGCGAAAAACTGCACAAACGTAATCTCTCAGAGGTCCGCGCAGAGTTTTTGGATCTGCGATGGGCACCTCTGGTAGCGCCTCCGGCGCCGCCCCCGTCCGCGCGCAATGGGGGGGGGGTCGCGGCGCCGATCGAAGAAAGCCGCGCGAACCTCCGAGAAATGATGTGTATGCCGTTGCCGGTGTCTCTCAAGGCGGTGTTCAAGAAGTTGACTCCGCTGCAGAGGGAGCAGATCCTGCAGGTGCTGCGGCGTGGCGCGGAGCTGGGGCGCGCGCCGCTGCCAGCCGGGTCGGAGACCCCCCAGGGCGACGCGGGCACCCGGGGGACGCCGTCGTCCGCCGTTGAGAAAAGCAGGATCGGGGGCGACGATCGGGGGGGGATAGGCATAGGGGGGGGGGGGATGCATCGACCCCCAATCGCCCTTTGATCGCCGAAAGGGGCCCGATAGCTCCAACCCGCCCAGGGAGGTGCGGTTTCGCCATCGGGGGCCTATCGCAGATCTATCGGCGATGTACCGCCGATTCCAGGTCGATACGTCCCCCCATATGCCAGCCCCCCCCGTCGTCGACCCTCACAGGACAATATTCACGAGGCACCAGACGGAGCAGCTGCTGCGGCTCGCCGAGCGTTTTGCAGGCGCTCACTGCCGCGCCGCTGCGGCGCCCGCCTCGCCGTCTTCGGGCGGCCTGCGAGGTGCGGGCGACAGGGGGCTCAGCGATTTCGACGCCTCTGAGGAGGTCCAGGAGGGAAAAATAGGCACAGGCACAAATAGACGTCGATGTCCAGGAAGACATGGGAACATGTGGGAAGTGGAGGTGGAGGGGAGGACAAAGTCCTGAAAATATTCGAAATAGCGGGAAGTGTTTATGTATGTGTGTGTGTGTGTGTGTGTGTGTGTGTGTGTGTGTGTGTGTGTGTGTGTCGCCCTGGGCCCCTGAGAGGTCCTGGAGCAGAGCGCGGACGCGGCGCCTGCGTCCCCGAGACCGCCAGCGGCATCAGCTGCGCCAGGCACCCCGACACTGCCGCCTGCAGGTGAGCCTGCCTCGGACGCGGGCACCGCGCAGAAGGAGAAGGGCGAGAAGCGCGCCCGGACAGTGTACGTCGTTGGCTTGCCGCACCGCGAGCACGTCACGCGAGGCGACCTCGTCCGGGCCCTGAGGCCCTTCGCCGAGGTAGACGGCGCGCGGGTGGGCACCACCGACGCGCTGGTGCGGTTCACCACGCCCGACGCCGCGAAAGCCGCCCTGAGCGCCCTGGATCAGGGCCTCGTGGCCCTGCGCCGCTCGATCTTGAGCGGCACGCTGGCGGCCGTGGACTCGCTGACCGAGGAGTCGCTCCTGCGGGCGAGCGGCAAGAGCCCCCCCGACAAGCAGCCACAGCCCGCCACGCCCTCGGCTCCGTCAAAGGCGCCGGCGGCGCCCGCCACGCCCTCGGCTCCGTCGAAGGCGCCAGCGGCGCAGCAGCCTCAGCAGCAGCCCTCACCGGCGCAGCCGAAGCAGAGGCGGCCACAGCAGCTGCACGCGGCAGCGCAGGGCGCCTCCCCCCAGCAGCCGTCCTCGCAGCAGCGGGCTGCGGACCAGGCACACCGGCACATGGACCCGATCCAGCGGCTGGTGCAGCCGCAGAACCCGCCGCGCGCGGCGCCGCAACCGCCCGCGCCGCCGCCAGCCAGATCGGCGCCGTCGTTGCCAGCGTGGTCGCCCGCGCGCGCGCTGCCGAAGGAGGTGCTGGAGCAGGCCGCGCTGACCTCGTCGCCCGACCTAGCAGAGCCTCCCGCCGCATCGGCCCAGGCAGCCGACCAGGTGCTGAAGATAAACCTCAGCCAACTGTGCAACACCGACGGTAGCACCGCGATGTTCGAGTGCCCGTTGTGCAAGGGCGTCGCTTGGCAGCCGAAGGTGACTATGTGTTGCCAGAAGGTGTTTTGTGGGCGGTGCCTGGACACCTGGCTCCAGACCAGCACGGCCTGCCCGCACTGCTCCGCGGCCGTCATGATCAAGGATGGCAGCACTGGCGGCTGCTGCGAGCAGCGGGTCAAGAAGCTCGACCGGAGCTCCACGGGCGTGCAGGCGGTGCTGTGGCGAGTGTACGGCAACCTGCGCATCAATTGCGCCAACAAGTGCGGGTGGACGGGGAACATCCTCTCCTACAGCGAGCACCTGGCCCACCAGTGCAGGCTCGCGGCTCGCCCGCCGCAGGCTGCCCAGGGGAACCTGCGGGCAGCGCCGCCGGCGCGGCGGGAACCCGTGCCTCCAGCGCTCGCGCCGACGACCGCGCCGCCGTCGACGGCGGCGGCGCCGAGCGCGCCCAAGCGGCAAGCGCAGGCCGAGGAGGCCCCGAGCAACGCCAAGGTCGTTGTGGAGGACCACCGCGCTGCGGACCCGACGCAACTCTCGCTCAAGGCGGGCGACCGGGTCGTCGTGCAGCAGGTGGCTGCGCACGGCTGGGTCTACGGGCAGCGGCTTGAGCCCGGCGGCGGCCGCCAGGAGGGCTGGTTCCCCTCCTTCTGCATGCCGGAGAACTGGCCGCCGCCGACGCGCCCGCAGCAGTCCCCGCCGCCGATGTCGCCCCCAACAGGCTCCACACAGGTTGTTAGGGATTACGAGGCGTCCGACCCCAATCAGCTCTCTGTGAAGGAGGGCGAGCTGGTCTGTGTTCGCCAGAAGGACTCGTCTGGCTGGACCTTCGTTGTGAGAGCGAATGCCCAGGGACCAGGAGAGCGTGAGGGATGGGTGCCAGATTGGTGTATTTGAATTTCGTGCGCCAGCTTGATACGGCGCCTTGCTGCGTTGAGCGAGCCATCCGTTCGGCAGTGTCTGTGCCCCTAGAGTGCGCGGCGCCCCAGCCGCGTGAAGCTTACAGGTAGGAGGCGCCCGACTGAGTGAACGCGGACGGTACTCTGTAGCAGACCTGATGTGTACCCCCTCACGCCGCCAGGGGGTCCAGCTCTACCTCCTTACCTCCTGCGTAGTATTCCTTCTCCTCGCCCGCCTGCTCCTGCTTCGTCTGATCGTTCTGGGCGTTCTGCCGTCGCCGATACCAGCTCCCCTAGCGTCCTGGGGTCACTGAGAGGCGTCTGGCTCTGCTGCGTAGTCTTATAGCACCGTATCATGTTGACCAAAAATGCCCAACCGCTTCGCTCATTCCGACAGCTCACGGTGCATCAGCGTTTGCATTTGCCTGCGTGCTCACGGTGGTTGGGAAGCTGGTGGTATGCGGTCTCGTTCTTGAGATGTCGCGTGAACCTCGCTTTGGGAGTAACAGTGGCAGGGTAGTTGCAACAAGGAACCTCTATCTGAGAGGGGCCCCTGGTTGGGCGCGATTGTGGCTAATGTTCTGTTTTGTCTGACGGATGCGGACTCTTCCCGAGGCGCTCTTGTGCTGCACTGGGGCCGTCTGAAGTTCTACTAGTGGGATGTTGAGTCGAGGAAGCAGAGAACATAACAATACAACAGACACTCGGGTTGTGATAAAGGGGCCCCTGGGGTGGAAGATGAGGCAGAAGCTGGGGTACGAGAGAGGCAGGGGGAACCCAAACAGGAGGAGCCACGAGCGCGCATGGAGCAGGGGAGAAGCAACGGGACGAGGGATGTACAGTGTCGCTTTTTGTTTATCTATGCTCCGCGTGCGGATCATGTATTAAAAACGCAGGGATTTAGTATTATGAACAACGAGGAGTTCATGCATCAATTTAGTCATACATTAGTCGTGTATTAAAACAATCCCATGCTTTTTTTTTAATCCCACGTATTAAAAACTGCCCTGTAGGGCGGTGGAGGCAGCATGCAGGCATGCAACGGACGGCGGGTGCCGGAGGGGAGGGATGCAGGGAGCTGGACCGGGGGGAGCCGGAGGGCGGAGCGCTCGAGAGGGGAGGCTGCAGCCGCCGGGCAGGCCGAGGACGACACGCCACGAAACAGGTCCCCACGGAACTCCCTCCTCCTCCTCCTCCTCCTCCTCCTCCTCCCTCCTCTCCTCCTCCTCCCCCTCCTCCCCTCCTCCTCCTCCTCCTCCTCCTCCTCCTCCTCCCCCTCCTCCTTTCACCACCGAAGTCCGACAGGACGAACGGGCAGCCATCACGGAAAATGCAGGGACGATTGTTTACGGTTTGTTGGGCCCCTTCCTACGCTGTCGAAGCCTACATATTGGGGGAGTTTTGGGAGCCTCGGGGCGGCTTCTTCTGGGGCTTCCTTGACGCCTCTCGGAGGTTGATTGGGGCCTCTCGAGAGCTGTCCTGGATCATCTTCGCCCTCCTTGGGTTCTCTTGGGGTTGTTTTAATACCACCTTGGGTCCTGCGACGCATTGGTCCTCGCTTTGGGGCCAGTCTCTTAGCCCCCCTGGGGCGTTGCTGGACGCTCTTGGGAGCCTTCGAGCGCGTCAGGGCTCCCTTTCGTATTACGGTGGAGGCGTTTGTTAAGGAACAGTCCCAGGAGGCGCCAGACCTTGAAGGATTCCTTATCCAATGAGGGTGGCTGTGATATCCATGGCCGATCCACGATTGGAGTTTCACTGGCTTCCAGACCCTGGATTCCTTATCCAATGCGTTCTTTTCCAATGCCTACACCGTATCTCCTGCGATTTGGAAGCAATATGGTGGCCTTATGAGCGCATGGGAAACGGAAGCGCGAGATCGCCAACATGGTAGGACGATTTCTGTGCTGGTAGATTGGAGGCCTTTTGCCGGTCTGTTGATGGTTGTTTTAGACTTGTGGCCTTTTGGGGCTGGTTCGGGGCCTCTGGCGGACTCGTGGGGCTGTCTTGGACAGTGCTGGGCCACCTTGGGACTATCTTGGAGCCTGCCTCTTGGGGCTGGTTCCCAGTCCTTCTTGAGGCTGGCCACCAATGGATCTCCGCGTTTGGGCTGCTCGTGGGCCGTCTTAGAGCTCCCTTTGGACGATTCCGGACCATCGTGGGGCTATCTTGGGGAGTTCGCGGGTCGCGCCCAGGAGAAACACAGATTTGATCCGACCTTGTTGGCTAGCTGCCTGGGAGTTTCCCTTCCGGGACCCCGAAGGGGACGTCTCGCGCGCGCACGGATGAGCGCAAACGGAATGCGCCCCTCACTTGAGGCCACAGTGCAGCACGCCGTGGACCCGTTGGCCAGCCAAGTCTTCCCCTGCCCTCCCGCGGCCTCCTCTTCTCACAGCTCATTAGTTCTGACCCTCCCCTTCATCACTACACATGGTTCATGTCGAATTCTTCGGAGATTATCCGATCTTTTCGGGGCCAAGATCCTCTCATTTCTGAGTGTGCTCTCCTGGGCCTCTCCTCCTGGCCACCAGGGGGGCAGGAACAGCTAGAAACGAGCACAATGAGAAAATGAGCAAGATTGGCAATGAACGACGAGTCTCTCTCTCTCTCGCTCTGTCGTTCTCTTTCTCTTTTTTTTCCGCTCTCTCTCTCTCTCTCTCTCGCTCTGTCTTTCTCGTTCTCTTCCTCGTCCTCGCGCCGAGGAGCAGGCGGACGAGCTCAAGCGGACGACCGTGCAGCTGGAGGAGGACGGGCCAGCAAACACACAGCCCAGCAGCGCCTCCCTGCTGCTGCTGCTCTTGGTCCTGCTGCTCCTCCTCCTCCTCCTCCTCCTCCTCCTCCTCCTCCTCCTCCTCCTCGGCACCTTCTCACGCTCGTCTTCTCCTCCTCGTCCCTCCCCTCGTGCTCATCATCTGCCTCCTCCTCCCTCGTCCTCCGTCTCCTCCGCCTTCTGCCCGTCACATCATGCGCCCCATGTGTTCGTCTTCCTCCGCATGCTGTTATCCTCTGTACCCGTTCCTATCTGCGCACACATCAATGTCTATATATAAGTGTAGATTTATATCGGAGGCGCCTGCGGCGAATCACCGCCGCCCCTTGCCTTTTAGGATACGCCTGTGTGGCCAGACGTTTAGGCAATGTTTGGCCATGCTATTGGCCCGTGCGTTCCTCCAGCTGGTTTGGAAGCCCTTCGGGGAACACGTGGGGGAGGATGAGGAGAGAGAGAGAGAGAGGAATAGGAGGAAGAGAATGCTGAGAAGACCTCTTGGGAGCTTCTTGGGTCATTCTTAGGAGCCTCCTGGGAACTTCCTGTGGGTCTCTTAGATGCCTCTTAGGGGCCTCGTCGAGCCTCTTGGGGGCCTTGGGGGCGTCTTGGAGGCCTCATTGGCAGTCGTACGGCATTCCTGGCCCGTCGGACGATATCGGAGGTCGTTTTGGGAGCCTCTCTCGGCCGTCTTGGGGCCCTCTTGGACGTCAGGGTCGTCTTGAAGGCCATCTTGGGCATCTTGGAGGCCTCTTGGGGCGTCTTGGGGCGTCTCGGGGCCATTGGGGACCATCTTGGGCGCCTCTTAGGCCGTCATGAGGCCATCTTGGAGGCCTCTTGGGCGATATTGGGGCAATATTTGTGTCCTCTTGGGCCGTCGGGAGGCCGTTTTGAAGCAAATGCCAACATGCTTCAAAACCTTGAGGAACATACATGGTGTTGGCCTCTTCGGGCCTCCCTGGAGGACTTCTTGAAGGTATCTTGGGGCGTCTTGGGGCCATTGAGGGCCATCTTCTTGGGCGCCTCTTAGGCCGTCATGAGTGAGGCCATCTTGGAGGCCTCTTGGGCGATCTTGGGGCAATATTGGGCCTCGTGGGTCGTCGGGAGGTCGTTTTGTATCAAATTCCAGCATACTTCAAAACCTTGAGGAACATAAATGGTGTTGGCCTCTTCGGGCCTCCCTGGAGGACTTCTTGGAGGCCGCTTGGGGCGTCTTGGGGCCATTGAGGGCCATCTTGGGCGCCTCTTAGGCCGTCACGAGGCCATCCTGGAGGCCTCTTGGGCGATCTTGGGGCAATATTTGGGGCCTCGTGGGTCGTCGTGAGGCCGTTTCGAAGCAAATGCCAGCATACTTCTAAATCTTGAGGAACATAAATGGTGTTGGCCTTATCAGGCCTCCCTGGCGGACTTCTTGGAGGCTTCCTGGGCCACGTTAGAGGCTTCTTGAGGACTTTATGGGACCGTCTTGGGCTCTCTTGGACCGTCTTGGCGGTCTTGGAGGCATCTTGGAACCACCTCGGAGGCCATCTTGCGGCTGCCGTGGGTTCTCTTAGGGCCATCTTGGCCGTCTAGGAGGCCAGCTTGGCCGTCTCGGAGGCAATTTCGGCGAAGGGGGAATTTTCCCCTGGGCATTCCGGGTGGCCGGCAGGTCGGGCCGAAGCCTCAGTGGGAGTTCTAAAAGAAACTAAAATCATCCCAGTGCGACCCTACCTAGGAGTTGGAGCCCCTAGGAAAGCAGCATTAGTAGTAACAGTAAAGCTAAGCTAAAGCTAAGCTACAGCTAAGCTACAGCTAAGCTAAATATAAGCTAAAGCTAAGCTGAAGCTAAGCTCAAGCTAAGCTAAAGCTAAGTTGAAGCTAAGCTAACGCTAAGCTGAAGCTAAGCTGAAGCTAAGCTCAAGCTAAGCTAAAGCTAAGTTGAAGCTAAGCTAAAGCTAAGCTAAAGCTAAGCTAAAGCTAATCTAAAGCTAAGCTACAGCTAAGCTGAAGCTAAGCTGAAGCTAAGCCA